GGTATTTCTATTTTCAACCTTCTGAGGAAGCGCCATATTGCATTCCAGAGAGGTTGGACCATTTTGCAGTCCCACCAGCAATGCAGGAGTGTCCCAGTGCTTGGCTGTCTTTTGAATCGCCACATCCCCGTGCCTGGCTGTCTTTTGAATCGTGGTCTCCCTTGTCTATCATTGTAAAATAGACACTTGAGGGGGATGGGAAACATCCAGAAACATCACAACAGAAAACATGTGGGCCTATCTCCAGCTTATAACCAACTGGAATACTTTGGGGGGAAGAGGGCATGAAACTGTCCAGACCCAAGATGGTGGGGGGACTATGATGGCATGGACAGATGGAGTGGATGGGGACACAGAATTCAGGGAGGAAGAGGAGCTGTTTGCTGACATCCGGGGGGAGGGGGGCAGGCCTATGTGGTATATCTTTTGGTTATTTGATGATGCACAGAGGGGATTTTAATCATTGCAATGAAATGAAATACGATAGGATTAATGTGAAGCTGAAGTGGTACAGAGGCAAATAATGATGTATGCAAAACCTTGGAACAACAGGGCTCTGGGATACAGAGAGTGAGACATGGTTTGAATGGGAAAGGGGGTGGGAATAATGTTAAGATGCTTGGCTGTCTATTGAATCTTGGTTTCCCTGGCATACCACTATAAAACAGACACTGGAGGGGGAGAGAGGAATAGCCAGAAATACCACCATAGAAATCTTGTAAGTCCATCTTCTGCCTGTAACTGATTGGAAGACTTAAAATGTAGCTACAATGCGCCCAGTGAAGGAGGCTTCCTGTGGAGCCTCTACATTACACTAGACCATAAATGGAATCCTGAACAGCATCCAGAATCTTCTGACAGGAAATTTCCACTTGAAAGGACAAGCAGACCAGCCTGGAGTGGCCAGAAGAACAGAAGATACTTCCTGAAAGAAAGACTGACAGGAAAAATACAAAACAACACAGGCAGGCCAACTGATTACTATAAGAACAAACAAGTGGCTTGCCCAGGAGACATTGAAGCGAGTGGTCGGGTCTCCCTCAGTGCAAACCCCCTTCTAAGACTAAGACCCAATGGGAATACACGCTCTGATTGGTGACCACATTCCTCACTAATAAGGGGAAGTGAGGGAAAAAGAGCAATGAAGCTGTGAGCTAAGCCCTACGATGCTCAAAAGACTCCTATGAACCTGGATGGAGAGTTGGTTGGCCAGCAGTGTGACAAGTCCAGGGGACTCTTGGACCCAAAGTTAGTGAAATAGCCACAGAGGACTAGAGTGGAGAGTGAAGTATCCAGCTGATAAAAAAGAAAGGGCATATGCATAAGTACACCCACACTCACAGATAATACCCACTTGACCTGGTTTCAATGGCTGGATGATCAGAGCTCAACCAGAAGAAAAAGGAGAGGGAAAAAAGAATAATCTGATATGATTTGATGAACTTGACATACACCTATGGAAGCAGTAGCTCAAAAGAGTGAACAAATTTTCACATCGAGGATCATTCCTACCTCAGCCACACACAGAGAGGACAGGGATAGGTAACTTGGACATTGGCTACCCAGAATGTGGGGGCTACAGAGGCAAGAAGTGACGGGCTTACAAGCTTTCAAGAGGGAACCGAGATCCAGAGGGTGTGAAGCAAGGTAGAATCTCCACTGAGTAGTATCCATTCTGCCTAGTCAGGGATGATGAAAGGAGATGCGGATAGGTATCTTGCGATACAATAGCGAATAATTGTTATCAGGACTGAGTGTAAGGGCTGGAAATGTAAAGGTAGATGTTTGGGGGCAAAGGGAGGTGAGTGATTAATCTTGCAGTCTAGGAGCAGAGGTCCGTGAGGCCATCAAAGGAGAAGAGCGGAGAATGGAACCCTCCCCGGAGAAGCAGTGATGCCAGGGATGGAGACAGAGACGATGACGTGGAGAGATGGAGTGGCTGGGGACTTTGGACCCAGAGAGGAAGAGGCGCTGTGTGTGGATGACCGGGAATGGGGTGGGAGGGGGTGCGGGGGTGGCAGTCTTGCGGGGTATATACCCTTTGGTTGATGGATGATGCATGGAAGGAATTGTAACCATGGAAAGGAAACAATATATGCCAGGATCAATGTGCAGCTGATGTCCTCCCATGTAAACTATCATATAATTCACAATAAAGCATTAAAAAAAAGGGGGGGGAGGGCCTATAAAGGCAAGAAATGACTGGCTTACAAGCTTTCAAGAGGTAGCCTAGTTCCAGATGGGGCGGGGGAAGGTAGAATCTCCACTGAATGATTTCCTATCTGTTGGGACCGGGCTGGCGAAAGGAAATGGGGATAAGACTCTTGTGGTACAATAGTGCATAACTGCCATCAGGACTGACTGTGAGGGTAGGAAATACAGAGGTAGATGTTTTTTGTCAAAAGGAGGGGAGTGATTGATTTTGCAGCCCAGGAGTGGAGGTCTCTGGGACCATCAAGTGAGAGAAGAGCGGAGAACAGAACGGGACCCTACCCAGAGAGGCAGAGACACCAGAGACAGAGACGATGACATAGACAGATGGAGCGGCTGGGGACACTGAGCCCATGGAGGGCTGTGTGCTGACGGCCAGGGGGCGGACTTGTGGGGTGTATCCTTTGGTTATTCAATGATGCATGGAGGAGATTGTAATCACTGCAATGAAATGAAATATGATAGGATGAATGTAAAACTGGTATTCTTCCATGTAAAACTCACAATAAAAACTTATTTTAAAAAAGAGAGAGAGAGAACAGAATGGATAAGAAAACAGGATCCTTCAATATGCCATCTATAAGAAAGAAAAGAAAGAGCTGTCTTCCAAATTTCTTGGCATAGATGAGTGAGTTCTTCCTGTGCTGTATCAGTTTGTTGAAAGATTGCAATTTGTATTTCATCAATTTCCAGAGCCTTGTTCTTTGCCAATGTCTTCAGTATACGTTCACCTTTTTCCTACACTGCCATTGACTCTTGAACATTTGCTAGCTCTTGAAATGGTTCACAATGACCATTTCTTTTTAGTGCAATAACTTTGTATTCTCCTGTCTTCTTCTTCTTTTTTTTTTTTTTTTTTCATGTTTTAAAATGTGTTTATTAAAGAGTGTTTGTAGGAAGGCAACACCTTTGATTCATTATTTTAAAAAAAAGTTTCTCCATGCTATATAATAAAGGGTAATGTAAGGGGCTACAGAGTTACAAGCGTCTTTCTACTGGAATTCTTTGATAGTACAGCACAGTGCAGTCATCTCTGCATTGTTAGAATAAATATTTAAAAAAAAAGTCTCTTCTATGCTTCTCTTAAAAAAGCAGTGAATAACAACAGAAGATGGCATGAAAAAGCCATTTTTTCCCTTTCATTTTGTAGTATTGGAGCCAGTATTTTTGCCATCACAGGCTACAATTTTCACTTTATCCACTTTAATAAGCTCTGTCACCTCTCTGAATTCAACATCATTCAAAACAAAAGTCCACACATTATCGTGGAATCTACGTATTTAGAGAGCCCCTGAAATTGACTCTGTTCCTGACCCTCTGAGCCAATGCTGAATTTATAGCCTTATCAAACTGAAGGAGAACTTGAAGGGCAAGTTGGGGAGTGATCTGTTGAGACTGTATGAGCTCATCTAGGCTTTCCTGAAGACTGTTTCCCAAAGTGGGATTTCTGTGTAACTGATATGCCATGGCTTAGGTGCAAAAAATTGTTTTTCTTATTCAGGCTTGCATTGATATCCTGTAGGAAAGGCGCTTCCCTCCGCTGAGCGGACAGAAGCCCCAAAGCACTCCTGTCTTCTTTTGATACTTTCTGCAACATTCAATAGTTTGCCATAAAATCCTTCAATATGGAAAGTTAAACCTTGAACTTTTCTTTAGTTGTCTCAGCTTGAGAAATGCTGAGCATGTTCTTCCCTTTGGTTTTCTAACCCCAGGTTTCTGCACATTTCATGTTATAGTACTTGACTTTGTCTTCCAGAACTGCCCTTTGAAATTTTCTGTTCAGCTCTGTTACCTCCTCATTTCTTTCATTTGCTTTAGCATCTCTACACTTGAAAGCAAGTTTCAGAGTCTCTTCTGACATGCATTGTGTTCTTTTCCAGTTTCTTGTCTTCTTAATGACCTTTTGCTAATTTCCTGTGTGATAGTCTTGATCTTATTTCACAGCACTTTGGGTCTTTGGTGTGTCTAATGCATTAAATCTGTTCTTGAGACAATTTCTAAATTCAGGTGGGATATATTCGAGGTCATACATTAGCTCTCATAGACTTGTTTTAATTTTCTTAAGCTTTGGCCTAAATTTAACTTATGAGCAATTGATGATCTTTTCCACAGTCTGCCCCTGGCCTTGTTTTGGATGATGTGGAGTTAGTCCACAGATATAGTGAGGTTTTTGTGTATTCTGTCTGAGTAGGTCCATCTGGGTAGTTGTCTTTTATGTTGCTTAAATCAGGTATTTACAATGAGTAAGTCATTGGCCTTGCAAAATTCTATCATACACCCCCCAGCATCCTTTCTATTACCAAGTTCATATTTTCCAATTACTGATCCTTCTTCATTTCCAAACATTGTATTCCAGTCATCAGTAATTATCAGTACATTTTGACTGCATGTTTGATCAATTTCAGACTGAAGACATTGGTAGAAGTCTTCAACTACATCATCACTGGCTTTAGTGGTTGGTGTGTAAATTTGAATAATATGGTATTAGCTGGTCTACCTTGTAGGTATATGGATATTATCCTATCATAGACAACATTATATTTCAAGACAGATTTTGAAATGTTCTTTGTGATGATGAATGAGACACTATTCCTCTTCAATTTGACATTCCATGCATAGTAAACTGTGTTATTGTTAGATTCAATACCAGTCCATTTCAGCTGACTAATGCCTAGGATATCAATCTTTATGAATTCCATTTAGTTTTTGGCAACTTCCAATTTTCCTATACTTCATATATTCTATGTTCCAATTATTAATGGATGCTTACAGCTGTTTCTCCTCATTTTGAAATCTGGAAGACAGCTACTTGGTCAAATTATTGGAAGAGATCCATAGCTGTGCACATTCCAAAGAGAGGTGACCAAATGGAATGCAAAAAAACCATAGGGTGATATCATTAGTATCACATGCAAATAAAATTTTGCTAAAGATAATTGGAAAACAGCTGTGACAGAAATTGATAAGGGACTACCAGAAATTTAAGCCAGATTCCGATGAGGACATGGAATGAGGGATATCTCTGCTGATGTCAGATGGATCTTGGCTGAAAGCAGAGAATGCCAGAAAGATGTTTACCTGCGCTTTATTGACTACATAAAGGCTTTTAACTGTGTGGATCATGATAAACAATGGAAAACACTGCAAAGAGGGGGTACTCTGGAACACTTAATTGTGCTCATGAGTAACCTGTACATAGACCAAGAGGCAGTCATTTGAACAGAACAAGGGGACACTGAAAGCTTGTAAATCAGGAAAGGTGTGTGTCAGGATTATATTCTTTCACCAGATTTACTCAATCTGTATGCTGAGCAAGGAATCTGAGAAGCTGGATTATATGAAGAAGAACATGGAATCAGGATTGTAGTGAGGCTCATTAACAACCTTCAACATGCAAACGATACAACTTTTCTTGCTGTAAACTAAGAAGACTTAAAATACTTACTGAAGAAGATCAAAGCTCACAGCCTTCAGTATAGGTTGCACCTCAATGTAAAACAAATGAACAAACAAAAATCCTCATAGGTGGACCAATAAATAACATCATAATAAATGGAGAAAGAATAAAGTTGTCCAAGTCTTCATTTTGCTTGGACCTACTATCAACATTCATGGAAGCAGTAGTCAAGAAATCAAATTATGTATTGTATTACGCGTATCTGTTACAAAAGGTCTCTTTAAAGGTTTCAAGAACAAAGATAGTGGTTTGAAGACTAAGGGGCACCTGCCCCAAACCATGGTATTTGCAATAGCTTTATATACATGTCAAAGTTGGACAATGAATAAGGAAGACCATAAAAGTATTGATACATTTGACATATGGTGTTAAAGAAGAATATTACAAGTGCCATGGACTTCTAGAAGAACAAACAAATCTGTGTTGAAAGAAATACAGCCAAAATGCTCTTTAGAAGCCAGAATGGCGAGAGTATATCTCTCATACTTCAGATATATTATCAGGAGGGACCTGTCCCTTGATTTTGACATCAGGCTTGATAAAGTAGAGGGTCAGCAAAAGAGAGGAAGACCCCTAATGAGATGGATAGCACAGTGGCAGCCCCAATGGGCTCAAATGTAACAATATTGTGAGGTTTGTGTAGGATCAGGCAGTGTTTTGTTTTGTTGTGGATAAGGTCAGTATAAGCCAGAACTGACTTGATACCACTTAACAACAACATAAGAAAGAGATGAGTTCAGAAGAAAATTTCAAGACTGAACGTATAAATGATAGGGAATTATGGGAAAATCCAGATATTACCAAATTTGCAACATTAGAACTAAGGAAAAGAGAATAATACTGTAAGGAGAAGTGGGTGGAAGCTGTTTGAGAAACAATATGATCTCTACCTCCCCTCATCCACATGATATCTCTGGACCACTCTGACTTCCTCACCTCAGCACATTCTTGAGGTTTGTTCTCTAGAGAGGGTAAAACAGATCAGCCGACTTGGAGAGGCCAGTCACAGTAGAAGGTATTGGTTCTGTACATCTACTGAAGGCCTGATGCAAAGACACCCCAGCCCTTTCTCCCATTCAACTCCTAGAACATTGGTGGCCAGATTCTTTCTGTCCATCTAGGAAATTATTCCTGTAGAGAATCTTATCAGCCAAGAGGAAAGATATTAAAACTAACAGCTCCCCAACAAATGTCCCACCTAGCTGATGCCACCCAGCTGGAGTCCAAAGTCAACAAGTCCCGCCATCAGAGCTTCCAATGAGTTTTTTATTCTTCATCTCTTAGATTGTGCATGTGACCAAGAATTACCAAATGGCTGAAGAGAATGAAATAAACAAATGAAAATGAATCAACTTAGGGAAAAGTGCTACCATTCAGAGGCTAGAATAAAACAAAACAACACTGGCCATATACTGATAAACTTTTTTCTTTTCCTTCCATGATCTAATGCTTGGATCAGCTGAAAATTCTCATTTCACCCTTTTATCACGTGCTCCTGAGAATTGGGAGTAGGCTTACATGTCCATATTGCTGCTAGAGGCTAGACTGCTTCTACAGTAGGATGTACAATGCCTCCAGAGTAATAAGCCTCACATTTCTCCAGTCTCAACTGGGGCCTTGCATCAATTTTTCCAGAAGATGCTCTTGTATCAGCTTCCTAGGACTGCTATAACAAATGACTACAGGTACTTCAACAAAAGTGAGTGACTTCAAAAACAGAACTGTATTCTCTCACCCTTATGGAAGCTGGCATTGTTGTTAGGTGCTCTTGGTTCCAACTTGTGGTGACCCTGTGTACAACAGAGCAAATTTCTGCCTGGTCCTGTGCCATCCTCACAATCATTGCTATGTTTGAAGCCATTGTTGCAGCACTGTGTTGAGTAATCTCACTGAAGGTCTTCCCTCTTTTACATTGGCCCTCTACTTTACCAAGCATGGTATCCTTCCTCAAGGTCTGGTCCGTCCTTTAACATCTCCAGAGTACAAGAGAGTATATCACCATCCTCCCTTCTAAGGATCACTCTGGCTATACTTTTTGTAACACAGATGTGTTTGTTCTTTTGGAAGTCCATGATATATTTAATAACCTCAAGAACACCATAATCCAAAGACAGCAATTCTTCTTTAGTCTTCCTTATTCATTGTACAGCTTTCATATACCTCTGAAGCAATTGAAATCTTGGATCAGGCATAACTTTTGAATACTTAAAAGAGGTCTTATCCAGCAGGAAAAATTAAAAACAAAAATTGCAGTCTGATTGGCTACTACAAGAACAAGCAAATTGTTCACTGGGGAACTATCAAGGCAAACAAATCCTCCCTGCCAAGACTGAAACTCAGAGGGAACACAAGTAGGCAGTGTAAGCTTGCTAGCAACATCATTGGTCCACTCATGAGCAGAAATGGGGGCAAGGTAGCAATGAAGATATGGACTGAGTTTGACCATGTTCCATAGACTCCCATTAAGCTTGAGATGAGAGAGAAGAAGGAAGGGCTGGTTGGTCCAAAGTGTAGTGAGACTTGGGGACTCCTGAACCATGGAGGACTAGAGCTGAGAATGAAGCATCTAACTGATATGAAGTGAGAGGAGATGCACACGAATGCCCAAACTTTCAGATAATACCCATTTGACCTAGCTTCAATGGCTTGATGATCAGAACTTGACTAGAAAAAGATCAAGAAATTTAATAATGGAACCAAGTATAAATTGCTACAATGTGATGAACTTTACCTACACTTATGGATGTAATAACTCAAAATACCAACTAAGAGGGAAGAAGTCTTCACATTAAGGATCAAACCTATACCCTCTGTACACAGGATTGAGAGGGATGGGCAACTTAGACATTAGCTACCAAAAATGGGGGCATGGGTGGCTATAAAGATATGAAGTGGCTGGATTAAAATTTTTCAAGAGGGTGTTTAGTTTCAGAGCATGGGGGAAAAGGTAGAATCCCCACTGAATAGTTTTCCTTTTTTCTAGATGGGTTGGGTGAAAGGAGATGGGGATAGGATTAAATGATTCAGTAGTAAGTAGTTATACCTAATTGCGATTGTCACAAGTGTCAAGGTAGTGGTTGTGTAACAAAAAAGG